GCAGGTACCCACTAATACTCCATCACAAAACTGGACAATTTAAGGTATGATAAACCCAAGCTGATGTAAAACCTTCCACAGAAGAAAACGGATATAAGCTGTCACATCACAACTCTATTTAAATGCAGATTTTATGTATATGTTGTTCGTAACTATCCTTATGCTTTCAAAGCGGACCCTTTGAAGCAAATGTTTTGCCTTGGCTGCACCCAATCTCACTTTTTACTCTTGTTACGGAGAATCACACCCTAAGGTTGGGCTTAAATCACAAGCTTTATATTTTTTAGTACAAGAAAAAAATAAAATAAGTGCTATTGTTTAAATCTCATAGAAAATTGTGTGTATGAACACTTGAAAAAAGGAAACAGAAAACAGGCAATAAGTGATATGCTTTTCTTTCTAGAAAAAAAGAGCTTGACTTATTTTAAGATAAGATTTTAATAAAAACTGCACCCTCAGTACTACAACTGGGCTTCAACAACTTGGGCTTTTACCTAGAAATATTGTAGCTTAAGTGTTTAAGTTTGACCAAGTACATTTCCCCTTCCACACACACAGACATCCAAGGTCACTGGAACTAGAAGTGTGCTCAGTTATGTGACAATCTGTCAAGATAGTAACAGAGATCCTGACAGCATGATGACCCAGAAGACATCAGAAGCCCCTAAGAATCACTTCAGCCCAAATATCTTAGCACCAAGGAACTGAAAACAGTCCCAAGACATCTGCATGATTTCCAGAGCACTTTATACAAGAATTTCACCCTTTCTGAACTTTAGTGCATTTTTCTCCTTAATAATTCCTAGCATTAGTAATAACAAAGTCACTTTAACAATGGCCACAGTGTTGCTTGCTGGGATGTATTAAACTCATAACAGTTCTTGTTAGGGAATATATTCTCAGTGATAGATTATCAGTGAGGTATAAGAATTGAATGCTGACAAAATAACTTTTTCTGCTACCATTTATCTGTTACTTGAACCACATCTTCCAGTATTAAGACCATGTCCATTTATAGAAATAAATGGGTGCACAACAGCATTTAGCTCTGAACAAGCCATAGAATCATAGAATAGTTAGAGTTGGAAAGAACCTTAAGATCAGCTATAACAGTTGATGGAAAAAGTATGGGCCAGATTAACCTACAGAGAGCCACTGAACTTCCAGGCATTTCCATTTATAATACATGACTGAAGAAAATTATCCTAGAAGCTGTATTTTCCTGACTTTTGTCCAATGGCTGCTTATCATCATCTCTGCAGTAATACAGAATTAGATGGGAAAAACAGGCCTCACCAAACAAAGTGTTTGCATAGGTTTTTGGAGATGTTTTATATCAAAGGAGAAGAATATGCTCAGACTGAAGTCATACCCATTTCACCACACACCTCACTATCAACTACCCCCTCTGCATCACAGATTCTAGATCAAGTACTTAAAGACTCCCATTGTTCAGCTAATAACCAGCTGCAAGGTAAAAGGTGAACCTTCAAATGCAATTTAAAAATCTCAGAACTGCTTTCCTATCTTCTACAGTATGAGAAATGCTTCAAAGAAAGAAAACAGTCTTCCTTAGGTTTTTGCAAATCATTAGTATCCACTGCTAACTAGAGGAATAAAAAGCTTTAATAGCATAAGACACTTCTCCAAAAAAAACAAACCAAAACTTTATCCCTTCACTGCATGCTGAAAATTAAATTCTTTCTTTTAATACTTGTTTAAAAAGCCTTCTGAACATCCTGACAAAACGTCATTAGATCACACAGCAAAATAACATGCAAGTCCCATTTTATGCTTTCTAATTCTTTCCTTGAAGGTTGGTATACCCCATCCTTACCTTGAGAAATGCCACTTCCCAGTACATGCTTTTAGGTAACTTAAAAATGTGGGAAACTTTAAATCACTGGACCTCGGTCACCTATGTACATCTTGAGCTAATTAAACACCTGTACTGAAAGCAACAGCCCCACCGGCATTTTATGTGAACTAGGTACAAGAGGACAAAGGACTTCAACTTGCAAGTTACATTTCTAGAGCCTTTCACACATATTACACATATCAGGAGCTGTGACGCCAGAAAATGCAGAAAGCTGCTAAAATTTAACGTTGGTAATAATGTTTGGTCTTACAGTCGAGCAATTTGTAGAGAATTATGGATAGAAGCATTAATTTAGGTAGCTGCAAAAACCAGAATGCAAGCAAAAGTGACAAACTTGCAGTTTAAGTTCTGCCTAAGGCCACCTGGAGTCTATTTCTGGTACTTCTTGATGCTGCTGTTAGCACAGAACTGAAGAACCAATGCTATTTTCACATTTCATTCCCCAATTTCTTTGCAGATGCAAAGAAAAAAAAAATAAATTTTCATATGTATTAGTAGTTATGTGTAGGAAGTTACCATTGCCTATGGGAGAAGAGAAAATGACCTGAGAGCAATTCAGATCTTCTAATTGTGTATATTATCAGTTTTGTTTAGTAATTCACTCATTTTGGGTGCACAGAAGATGCCTTGATATTTCTACTCAAAACGTAAGGATATGTCTCGACTCTGCCATGGAATCATGACTAACATCGTATTGTTTCCACCACTCACACAAAAGTCACTTCATTATCATCCAACCTTTGTGTGACAGCCATGATTTTTGCTTCATTTAAATTTTGTAGCTATTTATGCCATTACTTAACTACCAGCATTTAAAATGTTTCTTTGTATTGCTTTAATTGCACTACCTAGTATCTTTCCTGAAAGGCAGATCTGACTTCAACTTCTTTTGGTTGGTAGCACCTGTAAGGCACGTGTTTTGTAGAGTCACAGGAAAGGTGGTGGGCTGATTTTTAAGGAGGAGGAAAACAGCAGTTAGAAAAGATATTCTGACTGCCAAGAACACACACCATGTCCCATGCTCTTTTTCAGAATGCTTGCACCTTCCCAAATATTTGTCCATAAGCATTAGTCTATAGGCTTTTGAAAACTCAATTTAGTGTGGTAACGCTGACAATGTTCTCCCTGGAAGCTTTATTGTTGGACAAAAGGTAACAAATTTCACAAGGTTTTTGGTGACCCTTTCTTGTCCTCATGCCTTCCCTAACCTATATCCACACCACCTAAAAGAAAGAGCTACAACAGAACCAGGATGGTGCACATCAAGCTGATAGTTCCTCGTTCTTTTTCTCTCAACAAACCCATGATCGATGTTGATCTGTTAGTGATTACCCTCAGCATTCAGAGAGCAGCTGTGACTCCCCCATACCTCTGTCCTGGAAGGCCCCATGATTGCTCACGAAGCTCCGGGAGCCCTCAGTCTGCTAACACAGGCTCTCACATGGATAGACTGTCTGGTTCATAGGGCTCTGTCCTTAAACACAGTGCTGTCCCTTGTTTCAAACCAGGCACCCCTTCAGATTTTCTTGCCAGGTCAGTTCTCATGATGGGAGAATTACTGTGCAAGTACCTGCCTTCTGCATTAGAGACCTTCCTGTGGCTGAACCAGAAATTTGTAATGATTTTTCATCCCTACTTTTAGGCTTAAGTTTACTAACCTAACACCATTAGATTCAGCTATTACCTGCCTGAGTTAGACTATTTCACACAGTAGTTGCCTAAATGCTGTTAGGCACTCTACCAATATAAATATCACCGTTTTAAGAGTCACAAAAAGGGCCCACATTCAAAACTCCACCTCTAATTGTTTCACATTAGTAGGTATTTGTTTTTCCTGCTCCCACTGCTAAAAGTCCCTGCTCTTAAATTTTCATGCACTCACATACAAAAAGCCACCTGTCTCTGAAGCTCTTCATTGTGTTTTCTCCACTTGAATCCATGCACAATACAACTGCTTCACTACTAAGAGAGCAACTAAAAAAAGCAAAATCAAATTTCACAACATAAAAATAGGTTTTTTTTTTAAATAAACTATTAAATAATACAAGCAGCAAGGTGATTCAGTGGCTTCAGAGACTAGATATTTCTTTCAGCTTTTGCTACACTACCTGCTCAAACGTTTCTATTGTGATTTGTAACAAGGGAACCTTTAATAGACCTGCACATGGATGGATATAGGTTTCCATTTACCTTCAAGGTTATTTTGATTAAAGCATTACATTTTTTGCCTTTTACCTCAAAGCTGCCAGGGTACTTCAAGGACTTAATCTGCAAATTATGAGTTACAATTCAATTGACAATGCAGGAAATGATAGACCATCTTTAGTTGGGAACGTCATATGCCCCTTACGCTGGGAGAATATTACAAATGAATCATTATAGAAAATACTCAGCAAGCCAAGTAGTGCACTATACAAAATCTGGGATCTTATTTTCCTCTCTGAGGATAATAAATTGGAGATAGGCTATGCATCTCCAGTTTAATCTGAAGAGCTGTATTTCTATTAGAGGAAATGCCAGTTTCCTTGTATCTTGCTTCTTCACCTCTTATCTCCCACAACATACCTCCCAAATCTCCACACAAGAAAGCTACACTAATACGACATATAGCAGTTAGCATACTAGCATCTAAGCCTACAACTGTCCTTACCCACATCAGAAGGAACTGTTAGGGGAGGCACTTGAGGAGCACCAGTCGCAGTCTGCACAGGGAGGCTGTGATGCAGAGCTCAAAACAGGCTTTATTCTCCACACAGCTAGCGCTGTGTCTGTTTTCCCTCATCCCACTAACCCTGGAAATGGCAGCTTGTGGCTGAGAGGCCTAGCATAGTCTCTATAGTTACACTGTTGTTAGCAAAACAGAGACTCCCAGACCTTCCTGAAAGCATGAAAGCTCCCTTCTTGCAGACTCACTTACAGATTCCAGCAAGGCAGCCCAGCAGCACTTAGCATCAGCATTTAGCCCCTCTTATTGTTTAAGCAGTGTCCTCCTCAGAAAGATAGGCTCTAGACACCCAACTCCCTCCTAATGATACTTTACACTTGGTAAATATCTCTAGCATTTTGCTTAGACAACATAAAAAAAAAACCAACAATCAAAACCACCCACATCAATAGTCACCCCTTCACAGCCACCTCCCAGCAAGAGGTCTCTAGCTCTCAGGAAGCTCTACTGGCCTTTAATCTCTGCCCCTAATCACCACCTAATAATTCCTTCACCTGAATAGTAACTATTTCCACTCCACCCCACATTTCACCTAACAGAGCCAGCCAAATTGTATCAGCCAGTTCATAAACAAATAAAATGTGGGAAGATTGGCTGCACCTGTTGCATTAATGCTACACACTGCTGAAAGGTACCTTAACGCTTGTGCCTGTAGCCAGTCATGCAGTGTGGCAAAGACATCTTTCTTAAAAATACACTAATAAACCCAGTGTAGTGCTCTAGGCTGTAATTGCACAGCTCCTTAGGAGCAGAGTAAGAAAATCACTGTAAACTCAGTCTTGTTTCGAGGCAGCTATAAAGGATCTCCACTGACTAGTAAGACAAATCTTGAAGTGTAACCAGTTTCCCCCCTCCTCACTTTCTGGTTTACTAGTCAATTTGTTTACTCAGTCAGTGTGGGAAACTATGTGTTTATTGCCTTTTTTAATCCTGTATTCCAATTAATTTCTTAAAGCATTGTTAATTCAAGTCTGTTATTTTATCTGTACCTACTTTGTGGGTTGCTTAAGGCCCTAAGCATGTTTTACCTTTCCTCATATTTGATAGGTCCTGACTTTTAGGTCTCTTGAGAAATTCTTCTGGGGGCACTTCTTTAGGTAATGCTTTTCTGGGCACACTAGGTAGAATGTGAAGCCTTTCTCAAAGCTCTGCAGTGAGAAGATGTTAGATATATTACAGAGCTTGGAGCACCCCAGCATTCAGGTGCAACCAGTTCTCAAACCCATACATAAGCAGCTCCATCTAAGGACTTTTTCTGTGGATCTGTATTTAAATGGCAGTGTTCAGCAAAAGACTGAGAACTGCATCTCTGTTTTCAATTTAGACTTATTCTGTTCAGTACAGGGCTTGATCCAGGATTCTGTGGTTTGTTGCATTCATGTTCTAAGCCATCTTTCTCTTAAACAGAGAGTGAGCTCAGAAACCCCATTTTCTCTTCAGCATTCCATTTGGCACTTTTCTGTTGTTCATACCCACTGGGGTAAATAGTATTTACACTGTATTATTTTGAATAGAACCTCACAAATTCAACATCCCAACTAGTGTATACGTTATAGCTCTTCTGGTCATTGGTAGCTCAGCCAAAAAGTTATTGCTGTCACTCATGATAATTACGCATAAGACCTTGAAAAGGAAACAATTATTGCTGTACTAAACCACTCAGTGGATCCCAGATTTTAAATTCCACTGCAGTTACATTATTTTGACATATGACAAGTGACACACCAGAACAAAAAAAAAGCACATTTAAACCTGAAAAGAACCTTTCCATTCTTCCTACCTAATTTCTGTGTTCCTGAAGAAAATTAAAGCTTTACTCTTGATCTCTAGCTGTATATTTTAGCAGTCACACTAAAATAATCAGTGGAATCTAATTTTCTTTCCACTTTCTCAATTGTAACTACCTGTAGGATTGAGTCATAAGATAAATTAAATCAAAAAGACAAAACAATTTGTTGCAAGATATGCCACTAATCAGCATCTATAATAATGCGATGCTCATTCTTGCAAAGATTTTTGCAAAGAAATTAGCAGTTAAATAAATAACTTGAAATTAATATGTGGGTGTGCGATAGTGTCCAAAAAATGTGTAGAACAAATGGTAAATCAATGAATAACAATTAATATCTGCTTATTATAAGGCTTTGGTTTGGTTGGTTGTGTTAGTTGGATTGGTTTTAGTTGAGGTATTTCTTTAAATTGCCTTCTGGAGGAAGACAGCATTATTGTCTGATTTTGTATGCATGAACTGTGTCCTAGATTGATACCTGTGACTTATCCCTGCTCATCCATAAGACAGAGCTGAAAATACATAGAAGTCTGCTTCTAGAGAAAAATCTCTTCATCATTATGTGCAGGACTGGGGCAGACACTTTCATTTACAAGCAGCTCAACCTCAGGTTCAGTTGAATGAGCATGTGCAGTCCTGAATTTACTCTGCCTTATCTGGTTCCTTCCATCAATTCATCCTTAACATAACTTAATCTAACTGGGATAAAGTATAACTGAGGTCTTGACTAAGACTGAAAAGAAGTGAATTGTAATGGAAAGCCCCCAGGTTGCCTTGCAAAAGGATGCCATTTTATGAGACTCAGGGCACTTTTTAGTATTTTTTAGTATTTTTTGCAGTCATTCAAAAATTAAAATGTGTGAAGCAAATTTCAACATACCATATATTTAGGTTTACTGTAAAGGTGATACTTACCATCTACATTGTTTAGCAAAGAAATACCTAAGAAAAAGAACGGGTCTCAACAATAGTGGAAAGTAAACAACAGGAAAACTGCTCTGACATTCAAAACTACCATGTTGGGAATAAGGTACCAAAGCTGTTAAGTTTTGCCCACGCTAATGAAAATCAGTAGCTGGGTAAACAATCCATTTAAGTAATGCTCAAATGACTCCAAAGAAATAAAAAGTACATTTAATGATTTCTGTGGAAATAAATTCCTTTAATGGTACATTAACCAATCTGAACCCTAGAAATTATTTAAAATAAAAAGATACAAGTAGGCAATTATCAAGAAAAAGCCACCGGAATAACACAAAACATTTCAGCTTCTCTGTAATACATAAGGAATTTATCCTGACAGGATACCTGTATAATTTTTCAAACCCTTCAAAATAGGCTTATTCATATCTTAAGTTTTAATTTGCTTAAAATTAAACCCAACTATTTCTTCTTAAGAAGCCTGTATCCATTCTGCCTAGAGTAAAACGCAAAGAGGAAGAAAGGTAATGCCTTAGGACTGAGATTGAATTTAGGTCCTTGCAGCTAACTAAAAGTCAATACAATTTAGATACCTAAATCTCCTTGCAAAAATCTCAGCCTGGTTTTTGAGGCTTTGTAGTACCACCTAATCTCAGTGTTCACACAGTTAAGGAAAATGCACAGAATTTGACTAACATTATCTGTATATTAACATATAACAGCTTAACATAGTCATTTAAAGCTAAACATGCCCCAGGCAATGCTCATCTTCTGCTCTATTAGATTATTTCACAGATTATTTATGGCTCTTTCATCAAGTTAGTAATTTGAAGGTGAATGAATCCAAGGAAACTAGGAGCATGCATAGGGAATTCACACAGGGAAGTCAAATCCAGAATGAACTTGGACACAGCATGCAGATCTGAATGAATTCTTGAAGGATCTCTGGAGTTTCTCTGCTTTTCCTGCTTATCAGGAATCTCTCTGGTGCCTGATGAAACTTTGAAACTAGTAGCAACAATGAGGTGAAAAGAGAGAGGCCGCTACAACTTTCTGTTGGACTCCAGAATCTCCATCCTGCAGGCACCTGGGGAACAGGCACATGGAATCAGTTGGGAGCTGGCTATGAGCTGTTTCATCTCAGCCACATGAATATCCACCAGCTTGCATACCCATACACCCCCTTCACATTGTTCATACAGCAGATTTTTGCAGATTACAAACAGCCAAAAAATTCAGCATCAGATTCAGTTGTTGACACCAAAACATTGTAAGAACACAAATCCACTGACGTTAGCTGAACCTGGTGAAAGTTGTTTGCTAAGCAATCTCTTGATTATCATCTCAGTATTTCCAGCTGTGGAAAGTCAGCTTAAAAAAAAGGTTGTAGAGTAAAGTTATGTTGTAATTGCTCTCTTTCTCTTTTTTTTCTTTTTCTTTCTCCTTTTTAACTCAAAGGGCTTTCTGGATCTCTGGAGATATTTGCTACTCACTCAATCAACAAACATGCATCTGGAGCTTCGTTTTAAAATTCACAAATTTTCCTTGTGCTGAGATTGTCTATGATTTTTCTATCATTTCTCTTTTGTATCAGTATTTCTATTTACTTCTCCTTACCACCTCTAGGAAAGCAGAAACCAAATATATTGATTTTCACCTGGAAGAAGGTGGGCTATTAAAGCTTTTGGCACTGTGAAGGAGAAAGTATTTACGTGAAAACTCTTTGCCTCAGAATGCTGTCTTTATCAAGTAATCAGCAAGTAATCAAATTCTGGCAAATGTTGAAACTTACTCTTCTTTGAAGTTCAGTCTGAATAATTTATTTTCTGTCTGAGCTTCTTCCTGGAATGAAGCATTTGTAACACTGATGGGGTTAGGGTGCTACACAGAACACATGAAAGCTATGGTTTCATAGAATCATAGAATGTTTTGGGTTGGAAGGGACCTTAAAGATCATCTAGTTTCAACCCCCAGTGGTTTGATGATTCAGTCTTCAAAATATTAAATCTCAGGATAAATTTTCGCTTGTAAGACATACTGAACAGCAAGGTAACCCTATGGAGGTGACATCTAGAGAAATAGTACATCAGCAGAGAGTAAACCTGAGTCACACAGGAAAACAAGCAAGTTGCTTGAATAAAGAAATCGAAAGGAGTGAATTTAGTTTGTTCTGATTAAAATAAAACCAAACAAACCCTTGGATAATTCTTTACCTATGTTTTAAGCTCCACATGTTGAAGAGGATCAATGTAATTGACCCACCTCTGTTGTTGCTTGAATTGAAGATAGAGACTGAATGATAAATATTATGTCATTTAAGGTTTTCTTCAAATGAAAAAAAAAAAACAAACCAAAACAAACAAACACAAAACCAACCAACTAAACAAAGAAGAACACTTTCAAAGCCCGGAGTACTGGAACCTGACCAACAATTCTGGAGGATGATCTCTGAGCACAACAGAAAGGACTATGCTCTAAGATGTCCCTGCTTGCCTTTTATACCAAGTTTCCCAGACTTTCACTTGAGCCATCTCTTTCCTTAGCTGTCAAGAATAGTAAAAACCAAAGGCAGCATACAGCATTGTTTGCTGAGTTCTGTCAGCCCCCAGTGGTGTGTTGCTAAAGGTCTCTTGGCCCCAGTCAAGATGTTGAACAATTTTACAGTTTGTCAAAGCCCCTATCTGCCTTCAGGCTGCATTTTAGCTAATCATCTCCCTTGCCTTATGTCTTGGTAGTCTGGTGTACCACCAACTCTCTGCCAGACATGGATTTCAACGGGTACTTTCCATGAAAGGCAGGGGAAGAGAGAGAAAAAGAAAGAAACAGTGCATCTCTGCCAGCTGCTTGCCCACAGGGCTCTGCCAGAGTTGGTACATGAGCTCTCTCATGTTTGTTTGCTGCTATTCTGTGTTTCTGATGCAAGATAATGGGAACCCATGGGAAGAGAATGCACAGAAATGCAAGACTTCAGAAAGCAAAAGGAGCTAATCCCTTTATCTCTCTGATCTGATTCTCAGAAAAGGAAACTACTTAAGCCTCTCATTTCAGGGCAGGAATCTGACAAAAAAGCTTCAATTCAAAGTACATTTTCTCTGTAAGATATGTGTTTCTAATCATGCTAAGATGCCAAATACCAGGAAGTCCTCCAAAGATCTCTTTACTAGGAAGTAAATATATTGAGATGTAAGGAAAGCAATCTACCTGGAAAACCTTAGAATCAGAAGACTGCCTTTCACAGTATATATTTAATGTACGATTAAAAGCAAACTATCAAGCCTCTCCTATGATGCAAGAAGCAAGCAGGTGAGGCACTTGACTTACTGGTTGAGGGTAATCCTGAAGCATGCCCATTGCTCTGAACAGAGCTGCTGAGGCACTGAAAATCTGTCAGTTGACCAGAAACATGCATACGTAGGCCTGGGACTTAGCCGGTAAGGTGCAGAGGATTTGACACTGTGATTTTGTTTTCCTTTGGAACATGCAGCCTCTGACATGAGTATTTGTTGAGGCACAGCTCTCTCACAGGTGAAAAACAGTACTTGCCCTTGCCATTTCACAGTGTGTTGACCAGTGATTAAATGAGGAATGGTCATATGGAAGGAGGTGGCAGCAGAGCTGTTCTCTTACTTGTAGAAAACTTGCTCCTACATTAGCCAGGATTAATGTAGAAGGAAAACATGAGAGGTCTATAACCCTCCAAAGCATCCCACTTTGCTTAAGTTACTTCATCTAATCTGACCTATGTATCTTTCAGTCTCTTGGAGGACAACATGGTTGTGACCCTTCTCCCTGCCAATTTGTGAATGTTTCTGAACTTGTCTACTAAGAAGTTTCTAAAGCACATAACTCATGCATTACACAAAGCAGTCTTGATGCCCTCAAGGTCTAAAACACTGGACAAAAGGATGATGAAAATAAGACTTCCAACACAAAAACTTATAATGGAATCCACTGATTTTTTTAAGAAATGATGTTGTGGGGAAAAAAAAAAATAAAAAAAAGATCCTCAAGAATAAAGGATAAAAGGGGAAACTGCACTGAGATACCCATGATTAATTGCTATCAATATTTGCATTATTTCTGTAATCACATATTCTAATCGTGGACAAGGACCTCTTAGGCTAACCACCGATATATCAGCTCTGAGTGCAGTGTTTGACAGCCATTGCCATTAAAAGTAAGGCTGTTTGTAGCCTTGCCAACAGACCAAGCTTTTCCTTGCTAGATGAAATTGGCATGCCAGTGATAACTCTTTGCTCTCCAGGATGTGACAGGAAGCACTGTATGTCTCATTACTAAACCAAGAACTGCAGTGTGGTATTTAAAAGGCAATGAGAACAATGACGTGGTGTAAGAAATCCCTGTGATATTTCTAATGGAAAAACAATACTAGTTCCTGAGGAGAAGCTCACCTCATTCTTTTTTTTTTTTTTTTTTTGGGGGGGGGGTGCTTTTCCAGGTATCACTGTGAATGACCTTGCTGCCTTTCTTACACTTGCTGAAAATAAGAAAGAATTCCCCTGAAGTCAGTGGAATTACATAGCCATAAAACATGTAAGATAAGAAACTGTATAGCATAAAACAAGAAGGTAGATAGTGCCTTGCACTTTTGACTAAATATAAGATTTAATCTATTTTCAGACTGTCAAAAGCAAAGAGGAAAGTTTGCTATATCATGCTATTGAATGACAACGTATTTCTTATGTCTGCAGTCAAACATGTCTGGTAACTAGCTAATACCATATCTAATAACATTTGCATTTGTCTGTCTTTCACTACTCTTGTCCCTGTTTGCATGTGAATAAGTGTGAGAAGGCATGATGGACAAGTTGCAGTATTGTACAACCCACTGATACAATCTGTCCCCTTTAACTCTGGAAAGAGGCAGTAGTTTAGATGATATTATGGTATGTTATTGTTTAGAAATACAAGGAAAATCTAGCATGATGTTTAGTTTCATTTGCTCTTCTCTGTGCATGTGTTTATTTTTACCCTGCAACACAACATCCTGGCACTTAAAAAGTTGTGGAGATATCTCAAAAAGTGTTCAGTGGGTGAACATAGCAAGATATAGGTGGCTGTTTAAAACCTGGGACCCAAACATCCCCTAACGGTACCAAATGACATAAAAAAAAAGGTACAACAAAAATGACATACAAAATGAATGCTCTATTCTAGTTTACATCATCCAAAGATCATGATGTCCTGATTCAAAACATGGCTAAGACTGTGCCCTCTCTGAGAATCTGTCATCAGAAAGAATAAAAACCAGCAGGTATTATCATCCTTAATCTTTCTAGATGCCTTATAATATCCTATAAATGTCTGAATAAGAGAGCAGCTTATTCACATATCAACTGATGGGTATAATTTTAGGTACATGTAAAGAGCAGATGATGTAGAGCCCTGGATCAACAGTACCAGGAGATTCTGAAAAAAAACACCCACATTTTTAGCAGAGTTCTCAAATAAGAGAACAACCATAGCTCACTTGATCATTTAACCCATTTCCTGAATATAGACTATGAGCACTAGAGACAGCAGTGCTGCCAAGACTCTGGAAAGTAAGGGTAACTGCATTTGACTTATAAGGCATGTACACCTACCATTGAAACAGTGGCATTGCAGACTTCAAAAAATACAGCAGACATGCATAGAAGTATGTGCTGGTTTTGGCTGGGGTCTAGTTAATTTTCTCCACAGTACCTAGTATTGGTCTATGTTTTGAATTTGTGCTGGAAACAGCGTTGATAATTCAGGGACATTTCAGTTTCTGCTGAGCAGCACTTACACAGAGGCAAGGACTTTTCTGCTTTCCCATTAGCCCCTCAGTGCTCACCAGCAGGGAGAGGCTGGTGTGGAATGTGATGCTACAAAGCAGCCTTGGCTGCAGTGATCACGAGATGGTGGAGGTCAAGATCCTCAGGGCAGTGAGAAGGGCATGCAGCAAGCTCACTGCCCTGGACTTCAAGAGAGCAGACTTTGGCCTCTTCAGGAACCTGCTTAGTGAAGCTCCATGGGATAAAGTCGTAGAGGGCAGGGGGCCCAAGACTGGTGGTTGATATTCAAGGATCACCTACTCCAGGCTCAGGAGTGTTACGTCCTGACAGGAAGGAAATGAGACAAGAGGGCCAGGAGACCTCCATGGGTGGATAAGGAGCTGCTGAGGAAACTTAAAGGGAAAAAAGAAGCTTATAAAAGGTGGAAGCAAGGACAGGTGGCCTGGGAAGAGTACAGGGATGTTGTCTGGAAAGCTAGGGACCAGTTAGGAAAGCAATGGCCCAGTTAGAATTGAGTCTGTCAAAAAATGTGAAAGAGAGCAGGAAGGGCTTCTATAGGTATGAAGCAAACAAAAGACAGACTAAGGATAATGTGGGTCCTCTCTGGAAGCTAACAGGAGAATTGGTTACCCTGCGTTCAGAAAAGGCTGAGGTTCTCAATGATTTCTTTCCCTCTGTCTTCACTGGCAAGTGCTCTGACCACACCACCCAAGTCTTGGAAGGCAGACGCAGGGACTGTGAGAATGAAGACCTTAGGCCCACTGTAGGAGAGGATCATGTCTGAGATCATCTTAAGAATCTGAACGTGCACAAGTCCATGGGACCTGATGAAATCCATCTGTGGGTCCTGAAGGAGCTGGCAAAGGAAGTTGCCAAGCCACTGTCCATCATATTTGAAAAATCATGGCAGTCAGATGAAGTTCCCAACGACTGGAAAAAGGGAGATATAACCTCCATTTTCAAGAAGGGGAAAATGGATGACCCGGGGAATTACAGACCAGTCAGTCTCACCTCTGTGCCTGGCAAAATCTTGGAGCAGATTCTCCTGGAAGACATGCTAAGGCACATGAAAATCAGCAAGGTGCTTGGTGACAGCCAGCATGGCTTCACTGAGGGGAAATCCTGCCTGACCAATTTGGTGGCCTTCTATGATGGGGCTACAGAACTGATGGACAGAGGCAAAACAGCTGATGTCATCTACCTGAAACTGTGCAAAGTATTTGACACTGTCCCACACGACATCCTTGTCTCTAAACTGGAGAGACATCAATTTGATGGATGGACCACTCAGTGGATAAAGAACTGGCTGGATGGCTGCAAGCAAAGAGTTGAGGTCAACAGCAAAATGTTCAGTTGGAGACCAGTAATGAGTGGTGTCCCTCAGGGATCGGTGTTGGGACTGGTCTTGTTTAACATCTTCGTCGCTGACAGGAACAGTGGGATTGAGTGCGCCCTCAGCAAGTTTGCTGATGACACCAAACTGTGTGGTTCAGTTGATACGCTGGAGGGAAGGAATGCCATCCAGAGGGACCTTGACTCACTTGAGAGGTGGGCTGATGCCAACCTTATGAAGTTAAGCCAAGTGCAAGGTCCTACACCTGGGTTGGAGCAATCCCAGACACAGCTACAGGTTGGGCAGAGGAGAGATTCAGAGCAGCCCTGTGGAGAAAGACTTGGGGGTGTTGGTCAATGAGAAACTGAACATGAGCTGGCTTCAGTGTGCACTCACAGCCCAGAAAGCCAGCTGTATCCTGGGCTGCATCAAAAGGAGCATGACCAGCAGGTTGAAGGAGGTGATCCTGCCCCTCTACTCTGCTCTCTCTCGCAGTACTTTTGGAGTACTGTGTGCAGTTCTGGTGTTCCCAAAATAAGAAGGACATGGAACTGTTGGAACAAGTCCAGAGGAGGGCCACGAGGATGATAATGTAGCTGGAGCACCTCCTGTACGAAGGCAGGCTGAGAAGACTTGGGCTGTTCAGCCTGGAAAAGAGAAGGCTGCATGGATACCTCATAGCAGCTTTCCAGTATCGAAGGGGACGTACAAGGATGCTGAAGAGGAACTCTTCATCAGAGACTGTAGTGATAGGAAAAGGAGTAATGGGTTCAAACTGAAACAGGGAAAGTTCAGGTTAGATATAAGGAAGAAGTCCTTTACTGTGAGGGTGGTGAGGCACTGGAATAGGTTGCCCAAAGAAGTGGGAAATGCTCCATTCCTGGCAGTGTTCAAGGCCAGGGTGGACAGAGCTTTGGACGAAATGGTCTAGTGGGAGATGTCCCTGCTGATGTGTCCTGGGTTCAGCAGTAGCATTCATTTTTCTCCTTCTTAGTAGCTGGTGCAGTGCTGTGGTTTTGACTTTCATCCTGGGAACAGTGCTGATAACACCGATGCTTTCAGTTGTTGCTCAGTAATGTTTACCTTGACCAAAGACTTTGTGAGCCTCATGCTCTACCAGGGAGGAGGGGAAGCCAGGAGGAAGCAGAGACAGGACATCTGACCCAAACTGACCAAAGAGGTATTCCATACCACAGCATGTCATGCCCAGTATATAAACTAGGGGCAGTTACACGGAAGGGTTAGATCGCTCCTCGGTCGGGCTGGGTATCAGTCGGTGAGTATCACACAGTATCACAGTATCACAGTATGCTGGAGATTGGAAGGGACCTCAAAAGATCATCTAGTCCAATCCCCCTGCCAGAGCAGGAACACCTAGATAACGTTACACAGGAATGTGTCCAGGCGGGCTTTGAATGTCTCCAGGGAAGGAGACTCCACAACCTCCCTGGGCAGCCTGTTCCAGTGTTCTGTCACCCTCACTGAGAAGAAGTTCCTTCTCAAGTTTAAGTGGAACCTCTTGTGTTCCAGCTTATACCCATTACCCCTTGTCCTATCATTGTTTGCCACTGAGTAGAGCCTGGCTCCATCCTCGTGACACTCCCCCTTTATATATTTATAGACACTTATAAGGTCACCCCTCAGTCTCCTCTTCTCTAAACTATAAAGACCCAGCTCCCTCAGTCTTTCCTCATAAGGGAGATGCTCCACTCCCTTAATCATCTTGGTTGCCCTGCGCTGGACTCTCTCCAGCAGCTCCCTGTCCCTCCTGAACTGAGGGGCCCAGAACTGGACACAATATTCCAGATGGGGTCTCACCAGGGCAGAGTAGAGGGGAAGGAGGACCTCTCTCGACCTACTAACCACCGCCCTTCTAATACATCCCAGGATGCCATTGGCCTTCTTAGCCACAAGGGCACAGTGTTGGCTCATGGTCATCCTGTCGTCCACTAGGACCCCCAGGTCCCTCTCCCCTACACTGCTCTCTAGCAGGTCGTTCCCCAACCTATACTGGAACCTGGGGTTGTTCCTGCCCAGATGCAGGACTCTACACTTTCCCTTGTTATATTTCATCCCATTATTCCCTGCCCAACTCTCCAGCCTGTCCAGGTCTCGCTGGATGGCAGCACAGCCTTCTGGCGTGTCAGCCACTCCTCCCAGCTTAGTGTCATCAGCAAACTTGCTGATAGTACACTCAATTCCCTCATCTAAATCATTGATGAATATATTAAATAATACCGGTCCCAGTACTGACCCTTGAGGCACTCCACTAGTTACAGGCCTCCAACTAGACTCAGCCCCATAGACTACAACTCTCTGGCTTCTCTCCTTCAGCCAGTTCGCAGTCCACCTCACTACCTGGTCATCCAGTCCACACTTCCTCAATTTAGCCGTGAGGATGCTGTGGGAGACTGTGTCAAAGGCTTTGCTGAAGTCAAGGTAGACCACATCCACCGCTCTGCCATCATCCATCCACCGTGTTATTTCCTCATAAAAAAAAAAAAAAAAAAAAATATTTAAACAGGTCTGGGTTGCTTGCTCGAATAGGCTGGGAGCCCAGTCGGGGCCCCAGGGCACTGCCATTGCCTGGGGAGTTCTTCCTCGCCAGAGCAGGGGATATGGAAGTGGTTCGTTGAGGCACCTGCGGGTCCACAGGTCGAAGCAGGGGTGGGGTCCGGGCTGGCTGCACACCACTAATGCTGAAAGACTCCGACCGAGGAGGCAGGTTGGGGTCAGAAATCCTGTTGGCCACCTTATGGGGCATGGCCGGTGAGCTCTGGCGATTGAGCCGGGAGCGTTCCTCCACCTGTTCATGCTCTGCACGTCGCCGTTCCTCCTCTCGCCGTATCTGCTCCTCATAGTGTCGCCGCTGCTCCCGCTCCTGCTGCTTCCGCAACTCCTTCTCCCGCCTCTGCTGCTCCTCCAGCCTTCGCCTCTGCTCCTTCTGCTCCTCAATCCGCTTCTGCCGCTCGGCCAGCAACTGCCGCTTGTGCTCCTCATTCTCTCGCTGCTGCTGTTCCAGCTGCTGCCGACGCAGCGCCTCTGACCGCTCCTTGTTAGCCAGCTGTAGCCTCAAGAAATCCCGTCTCAGTGTCGACTCCCCAGGCAGGTTTAGGATGGAGCTGGGCTCTCCAGAGTCATTTTCCTCCTCCTCCTCCTCACTTCCACTGTACTCGTACTCTGTCTCATCTTTCTCGCCTCGCTTCTTCTTAGTCCTGTCAATGTGGTCCTTGAGCTGGATGCGGACCTGCCTTTCATTGGGCTGGTCTCGGATGAAAGGGTGCTTCATCAGCTGCTCTGTGGTTGGTCTCTGGCTATGATTCTTCACTAGGCAGCTCTCAATGAAGGACTGAAACTTTTTAGACCACTTTTTTGATTTCAACCTCGGGGCCGGGTTGCGAGGGATGAGGAAGAGAGCTCTCATGGGATGCATGTCACAGAGAGGGGGAGCGCCTTCCGCCATTTCAATGGCTGTTATCCCCAAAGACCACAAGTCACTCTTGAAGTCGTAAGTGGCATCAGGATTTTCATCGCAGGCAATGACCTCAGGGGCCATCCAGTAAGGCGTTCCAATGAAGGTGTTTCTCCTGCCTACTGTTCTGTCCAGCTGAGCACTGACACCAAAATCCACTAGTTTAACTTCTGCATTTTCTGTCAGCAACACATTCTGTCCCTTGATGTCTCGATGAATTACTTTGTGCTGGTGTAGATGACTCAAGCCCCGTAAGATCTCTCTGCAGATGTATGCAATCCACTCCTCCTTCAAGGTGTTCCCCTTCGTGTTCTTGATGAGGTCAGTGACAGAGCCTGCACCGCAGAACTCCATCACCAGCCAGAGCTGATCATCCATTCCTGGTGGGTTCTTCTTAATAAAAGCACCATAGTAAGTAGCAATATTTCGGTGGTGAGAATACTTCTTCAGCATGTTAATTTCTTGTTTGATCTCTTCCTCTTCATCCCCGGTGACGTCCATAACCTTAATAGCAGCAAGCTGGCCTGTTTTAACATGACGACCCTTATATACCTGCCCGTAGGTACCATTGCCAACAAGCTCCACCAGTTCAAAGATTCCTGCAGGATCCCGCAGCGCCGAGAGGTCGATCTCGTCCAGGCTCCGCGCCGGAGAGTCACTCGCCATGTGTGAGTGGTGAGAGGTATTCTCTCCCCTTGTTATTATTATTATTATTGATGGTAGCAGCAGTGGTTTGTGTTATACCTTAGTTACTGGACTGTTTTTATCTCAATCTGTGTGAGCTACATTCTTTTGCTTCTCCTCCCCATCCCTCTGGGAGCAGGGGGAGGAAGAGGGGGGAGTGAGTGAGCGGCTGTGTGGTTCTGAGTCTCTGGCTGGGCTTAAACCACAACACCATGGCAGGTGGTTGGAACTACACGATCTTAAGGTCCTTTCCAACCCCAACGATTCTATGATTCTATGATTCCCACCACCACCACCAGTGAGGAGCCTGGGGGTTCATGGTAACATAGAGTTAGGAGGTGACACAGCCAGGACAGCTGATCCCAGCTGACCAGAGGGATATCCTATAACATATGACGTCATGCTCAGCATATAGAGATGGGGAAAAAAAGAAGGAAGAAGGGGACATTCAGAACTATGTCGTTTTGTCTTTTATAGTAACCATTATGTGTGCTGTATCCCTGCATTCCTGTTGATGGCTGAACATCTTCCTGTTGATGGGAAGCAGCGAGTGAATTCATTGGTTTTCTTTGCTTACATGCTTTTGCACTTTTAAGTTTTGCAAAATAAGCTTCTGCTTTGCCTATTAAACTGCCTTTACCTCAACCCACGAGTTTTCTTACTTTTACATTCCGGATTCTATTCCTCATCCCACCGGGAGGGGGAGAGTGAGCAAGTGGCTGTGTGGTGTTTAGCTGCCAGCTAGGGTTAAACCACAACACAATATTAAACTAATTATCAAGATATTTGTTGACTTTCTCTTTCCGTACAGGATGTCTTTCTAATTACAACTATGAATATACAACTAAGATGACCCCCTTTTCCATATATATACACCAGATACTGAAATATCCCCCATGCAGTTCCAGATGCAATCAGCTGCTGGTTAATGCAAGTTCTCTTTGGAGAATTGCCATCTACTCTAAACACATATTAACTAAATCCAAAGGAACCTGTGGGAGGCATTTCATTTTCCTGAGTCAACATACCCTCATCTAATGTCTAGGAGCATTACTCCTTCCTCTGTGACTTACTGTGCTTAACACAATCCTGGGCATCTACTTAAGGGCAAAGGACATGGCTCTCTGATGCTCTCTATGTTGTATATCCATGTGCACTCATAAAAAATGTGCTATTCCTACTTACTTTGGCAACCTATTGCACCTGCCACAACCTGCTCAAAGCAGAAGACAGAGAGGAGTTTGGCATCTGCTTTGGAATTTGCACCTTTTCAAACCAAAGGTGTATGATCACTGACCTCTAGTTCCCTTTCACCACTTCCACAAGAGTGGGTGATATTTTCTAGACACCCCGTGGAAAAAAAATGTACTTATTTAAAACAGTCTGCTCAGTCTCAGCAGGGATTTGGGAGGGGGAAGGATGTTTGCCTCTGTATTTTCTTCCTTTGTTTGTTTGCCATTCTTAACTGCACATATTTGCATAAAAGAAGGAATCTTGTATCATCTTCTCCCAGAGCTTATTCCTCATCTGAATCCTGTTCATGACAGCTTAATCATTTCCACAGCAACCAAGATCATGACATGAAATAAAGTATAAGCAGCAGGAACAGATGATCTCTCTGGAAACAGAGATCCTCTTCCATGCACATAAAGATACTGGAAAAAAAAAAAGAGAGAAACAGAAATACAGAAAATATCTGCCACAAATATGTGATTGTTCTAACTTGGAATGACATTAATTTTTTTCTTTCATTGTCTGGCTGCTGGCTGCTGAACAGCACATTATATTATGTTACATGGTTTAAAACAGTATTAGATGACAGATAGAACACTAGGGACAGATAATGCCCTTGGTCAGAGCTGGTAATGCAGCTGGTAAGGCAGCTGAACATACAGTTCCTTGGCCAGGTACAGCCCATGGTTTAGGTGGTTGGTTTAGGCTGTTTGGCTTCAGCAACTTTTGCTGAGTTTGGTCTAAATCTGCTCTAAATATTTGGTCTAAAGGAAAATAACTAAACTCATGTCCCTAAGGCCCTATTTTCATTAATTTCAGGTGCTTTTACTTTTACAATATTCCTTTTTGTGATGAAACAAAAACCAAACCAGTGTATTTACTAGGGAGACACTTTTTATGCAACCTTTCTGAATAAGCACCTCAAAATCTGACCTTGTAGTTTCTCCAGCAAATTAGTAATATGCCACAATGCAGCATACAGCAAGCATGCCTGAGCTTCTTGTCTCCAGAGTACAAATTACAGAGTGATTGGATTTTAGGAAAAGCAAATCCTTCTGCTGCACCTCTTTGCCTATTTTACAGTGCCCTACAATATGTAGGCTGCTTCCCTACTGCTTATTTTATGTTCTGCAGCTCCTTAATTGCAGCTAGGTAGATGTAGATAGCATATATTTTGAACCTTTTGGGGTGGATCATGGGTGATTGCTTAGTTTACGGATGGTCAATTGCATGCAACTCAGAATTATTTAACCTTATCTCCCATGCCAATCTATGCTGTGGCTCAGGGCCCCATGGAGACTGGTGTGCCACATCAGGGTCATGCCTGAGTAGATAACATCAAACCTGCACATGATAAAATCACTGAGGAAAGTAATACCCGAAACAGGAATAAACTGTCAGCAGAATAGATTATTGATAACTCTGCCTCATGTTTGAAAATTAATGCTACAGAGGGACAGAGAACAATCCCACTCCCTCTCCAAGTGACTAAATCTGGTAAAGGTGTGCTCATGCCGAGGGAGATAGGTACTTGAGGAATGGTCAGTGAGTCAGTGCAGGAAGCTGTTGCACAGGAACCAGTGTGGAGTCTGGAACGTAACACCAAAATAACTTTGAAATGTGCAGGCTCCTAGATCAGCCCTAAAGCTCAATCACACCAGTTAAAAGAAAGCCTTTCACTAACCTGCCACCAAAGGCAGGGTGACAGCCCACAGAATTTCCAGCAGGACTTTTGCCTTTGATCCAGTCTCGTTTATTGTTGCATAAAGTCAGCCCATGTAGTGCAAACTGGGGCACAACTGAAGTTCCTCTCATTTTTTCAGTCAGGATGGTTATGGATTGACATCTTCTGGGAAATTTCATCTGAAAAGACAGTGATAAGATCAGTACAGAAAGATTTGCACCTGTCTAGGTCAAATGCTACAGTTATGTCTCCTGCCACTGGCTGGTAGTCAGAAGGGAGCTGAAGATTACAAAGCAAGATTTGGGCAAAGTTGAAAAGTATAGATGTCTTACTGAATAGAATAAGCCATACCACTAAAACTGGAGGTTGACTTTAGAGTTTTTGTCTTCAAAACAGCAGACAACCTCTTCCCAAAATTTTTGGAGAGGGCAAAATAGTGATACTTTTTTCACAAGTTTCATCATGAGCACTCACATTTTTAAATCCTCTGCTGCTGGAATCGAGTGTTAATGTGAGAGACGTGACCCTCATGACAGGTGGTCAGATCCTGTGGAAAACAGAAAAAAAAAAAAAAAAAGAAAGGAAATGTGGTTATATGCAGTTCATGGTATCAGAAAGCAAAGTATCACAGCTTTCTTTCTAATTATTATTTTACACAAGCTCCACAATGATTTTTGGGTCTGGCTTATGAATTTTGAAATACTTTAAGCTGGAAATATTCCCTAGTGACTTCATGAGTGCTCAAAGGAATGTAAATCTGCCAGATTTTATTGCTGGCTACCCACAAATGCAGGTAATTTATCAAAGAGCATCATCCGCTCTCACCCAGGAGTCTGCCCTGCTCTTTCTCGCAGGATGTTCTAGGGCAGCCACACATAACTGTTTACTCATATAGTTATTCTGTTGCAAGTAGCTAAACATTCGTTGTATCTATAGATACTGCTGTGCTTTAAGCCCTGCCAGCAATTAAGTACCAGGAAGTCACTCACTCCCCACCCTCACTTCCTAGTGGGAGGGGGAGGAGAATCAGGAAAACAGTAAAATATTCTGGGTTAAGGTAAAAGCAGTTTAATAATTCAAATAAAAGTAGAAAAGTAATAATAATAATAATAGAGAGCGAGAGGAAAAAATAAACCCTGCCCCCTGGAAAAAACATGTGAAGCCCAATAGAATGGCTCACCACATGCCAACGGATAGCCAGCTTGACCTGAGCAGTGATCTGGGCCTTCCAGGTAACTGCCCCCAGTTTATATACTGGGCATGAAGTACTGTGGTATGGAATATCCCTTTGGCTAGTTTGGGTCAGGTGTCCTGTCTCTGCTCCCTCCAACCTCCCTCCCAGCTTCTTCGTCACTGGCAGAACACGAGAGACTAAAAGTCCTTGATCATGGTAAGCATTACAGAGCAACAACTAAAACATTAGTGTGTTGTCAAGCATTGTTCTAAAACTAAAGCCAAAACACAGGACTGCACCAGGTACTAGGAAGAAAATTAACACTACCTCAGTCAAAACCAGGGCGGTTACATATCTTTGAAACATGAGCAGAACTATGCACAAAGCCAGGTACAGATCCTTGATTTAAATGGACAAAACAATTCTTTCTGTAATATTCTTTCTATAATTCAAACCTTATCATGTTTTTCACTGATTTTTCCCTTGTGCTCCAAGCAGCAAATGTTTCATCCTGGCAGAAGGTATTTTCCTGAATGGCTGGTACATACTACCATAAACTCAGTCAGGAGGCTTTTAGCAACAACAAAGTATTCAAACTGCCGTTCCGGAAAGCCTTGAGAGGACTGGGTCTTTGTACATACACTTCAGGTTAAGACTGTGAACAAAAACAATTTGCACAAAAACAGTTACTTGGTAACCAAAAGAAAAGTGTGATGTGCAGCACAATTTCCCAATTATTTTTGTCATAGAATCATATAATTGTTTAGTTTGGAAAAGACCTTTAAGACCATTTTGTTCAATGGTTAACCTACCACTGCCAAGTTCACCCCTAAGCCATGTCCTTTAAATACTTCCAGGGATGGCGACTCAACCATTTCCCTGGGCAGCCTG